CCTCAGTTATTGCAGAATTGTGATTTAAATTAGTAAAGCTGTGTCATCTGTCATCTACCTAGCCAAAAATCTTTTTACGTTATTTTCATAATCCCATCACAATTAGAATATGGACTAAATATCACAAGATCATTACATCATTTTCTTAGCATCTGTAGTTTTTTAATACTGTAACTTAAGAATATTTGGTGAAAGGCTTAACATGCGTTAGTATGATGAAAACCCTGGTGTTTGTCCAGGCATCAGACTGGGCAGACATGTAGAATACCAGGCTACATCTAACGGCTCTGCTGTGCCAAAAATAAAATTTTAATTTGATTTGGAGAATAAATTGAGAGTATGCAATTCTATTTCAGTGAGATACTACCATCTCACTACTCTCAAAAATCCTCCTCACTGAGAGGGAAATTTGCTTTTTGAAAGGAAACTTCTCAAATGTTTTGCATTTGTAATTCTTGAGGAAGATACTTTATGTTTTGACTTGTGACTGCAAGTTGACTGTACAGCAATTACAGGGGACAGCAATTATGGGGACTTGATTTGCCAGATTTCTGAATCCCTGTAAGTTTCCATGTATTGTTTTCTAACTAGCTATACTACCACAGGGACTGATATGATTGTACACAACTGGCTAGCTTGAACCATAAGCAAGGAAAGCTTGTTTCTGAATGATTGTTCATGTGTTTATGACCACAGGAACTTGCAGTACTTTCTGTTGTAAATAATCAAAAGGTAGCAACATTCTGTGTAGTCGATGTAAAATGATTTAGGCTTGATGTTAGAGAAGACTAGTAGAGAACTTCAGAGGGGCCTAGAAAAGGGCAAACATGCAATTCTGTATATTTAGAGCATTCTAAGCATTTAGTCTGGCTGCTAAATAAGGCAAGTCATGTAATATTGCCTGCTAATTTCTGTCTCAAGATATTTCTCTGTATAAACACAAACATTTTAGCAGTATAAATGATCTTGAATTCCAGATGAAATTCTGAGCCTTCAACCTTTTGCTTTCTTTGAAGTCACTGATAGTTTTGCCATTGAGTTTGGTGAGTCTAGGATTTCATTCAAATACTTTAAGTGATGGAGAAGTCAATGTATCCCATGAAATATTGTTCAGAGGGTTAATTTCCCTCGCTTTTAGCACTTAAAATATTATTTCCATATTTAATTTGTTAGATTAATTTACAGACATCCTTCATTCTTTCCTGCTTTTGGTATGCAAAATTACGGAGCCATCTACTTTCAGATATGTTCTCAAGCAGGTATGCACAACAACTGTAATCAGGTTGCTTCTTAGCTTTCTTCTGTAGAAGCTAAATAGATCAAGCAATTCAAGAGAAAGATAAGTTCTTGAGGTTATTCTGCTATTTCCTTTGTTTGGTCTCTTTGGTATTCCATCAGCTATGGCTCAAGTCCAAAAATTGTTGTGACTTCTAATCACTCCTTGAGAGACAAGAAGTCTTACCTTAGTCATTGATCATGATTGCTAAGAGTGTAATCAGGACAGTTCTTCGGGTGAATTTGAGGCTGCTCAGGAAAGAACAGCTCTTCCATTAGCATTACCACATGGACTTCACTGAGGATTAATAACTATTTTTAGTATCTTTCTTTTTGGTGTTCATAAGGATATATTTAGTTGCAGTAAGCTGAGATCAGATTCCAGTGGAAGCCTAAGATACTCTCCTTTCTGGTAGTGTTTCATGAGCCATTAAATTTTCAGATCTGTGAGTTAGGGAGTTGTTAACTCTTTTAGTGTTGACACTTAAGTAATTTAATGTAAGTATTCTAAATTGCCAAATTAATGCACCTGGAGCTCCATTAACTATATATGACCTGTGGGTAAATTGAGAGCACAAAAGATAAGATTCTAAGTTGGCTGATTAATGTAGAGAATATATTTTTTTGAAAAAAATGTGCATTTGGTATCTGCCCTGCTAACTTTATCAAATAAATATGTAGAGTGCTATATAAGTATATAAAATCCGTATATACTTACCATTATTATGAGGAATGAACTGTGGTCACTTCATCTCAAACCAAATATAATAGCAAAAAAACCCAAGAGGTTCAGTAGTTGACTAGAAGAATGATTAGAGAGTGGAATGTGTATAAGGAACATGGAAAGATTTGTGACTGGTCAGAGAGTAAGGCAAATAGTTCAGAAATCCCATACAAAAATGTTAGCATCTTTTGAGTGATGTTAGAATAAGCAATGAATGATTCTTCCAATAGCTGGAATAATTTTAACCTAAATTTATTCTTGACTTTGCACTACTTTAAACCTAGGCTTCATCTTTGGCAGTGAGTAGAGATGATTCCAAATAAATCTCTTCTTCCTCCTCCTGCATTTTGTTTATCATTTAAAATGAGCTCCCTAAAGTATGAAAGAAAAAGCTGTCTCTTTGCTTATGGACTTCTCAGAGTTAGCCATTACTTTGTTTACTTTGAGCTACTCTAATGAAAATAGATAAGGTGGAATTAAACCAAAAGCCAGTAAATTTGAATTCTAAAAATATCCTCACATAATTAAAAATCTCAATTAGCTTAAAGCCTGAAGATTTGTTTGTATCCCAAACAAGTCTTGCTAACTTCTTCCAGCTGCACTCAGTAAGAGATGATAACTTGTTCTGCAGAGTTTGACTTGCATACATCCTTTGACTGTCATGTTTACACCATCACTGGTACCACAAGTAGCCAGTGGAGCTCCTGGACATAATGTCAGTGAACAGAGATTGAAAAGCATTAGAGCCTATGTGGATCAAAAAGAAAAGTCAATCACTAACACACAGGAAACCCAAACTTTTTTCACTTGACTCATGAATACAAAGCTATAAATCATATCTGTCTGCAGACAGGTTGATACATAAAGTCAGATCTACTGCGTATGTGCCTTGCAGCTGATGTGGTTTTGCAGTTTGTTTTTGTAATATGCACTATAAATACATACTGTCATGTAAACATCCCAAAAATATATTCCTCAGATATCCTGTTCTAGTAGTCTCCCCATCAAAAGTGATCTAGTGATAGGTATGACAAGTTTTCTTTTGAGAACCTCTAAATGAAATACCTGTGCCATGCTATACTACCTTGACCAGTAAGTAAAAAAGCTTAGTATAAGCTGATATGGAAATAAAAGCCAATAGTGGTTTGTTGTTTGGGTTTTTGTTTTTGTTTTTTACAGCAGTAATTTTCTTTTCTGGAAAACAGCATTTCTTACATGTAAAATATATTTATATGTAATGATTAATTTTATACTAAAATCTTGTTCTTGAAACACTTTTTAAAATACAAGGGACGGGAAGTTTGCCTAGAGAACAACAAACACCCTACTATAAGCATGAATCATGTTACTATTTTTATTTTTAATTTGTTTGAAATTGCCTTATATCATTTGCATATGTGTACTGTGCTAAGCCTTAGGTAGCATTTTGGGAGTTAGGGTAATCCTTTCCAGTTTGTTGAAAATCTTGAATCCTGCCAGTCAATCTTGTGCTTCAAATTCACCCCCCAAAGACCAGCCCCTGACAGGTTCATTGAGATTGCTTGCACTCTATGCACTATAGTTTAAAATAAGCATAATCTGGTAAAATGCCAGTCTTTTCTCAACCTTCCTATATCCCACACCCATGTTTTTTTCACCTGCCAAATTCAAACAAATCTTATCTAAACAATTAAGATAAGCATTGAAGTGCTCTCTATAGTCAAATCAGCAAACCTCTCAAAACCAGAACTGAAATACAATATCTCTAAATTAAACAGTCTACAATGGCAATCATGTTTGTATTTAAACATTTTATTCTGAAAGGATTACAGCATGGGTCTCCATTTTTTTTTTTCCTGCCTAGACAAGAAGGCGACATACCGAGTCAAACAAAATATATTTGTTCTCTAAGAACTGAACTTGCACACTTTTTATAAACAAACTGTATAGGTGTATGAAGTTAAACTTCACATAATCAGTAACTGCTGTCCTTAACATAGAAGGCAATTGTTTGAAATGTAAAGTAACTGTTTATATTAACTATGTATAGCTATATATAAAATCTAGTTATATATTTTGTTGTGTGTGTGAATATATTTATATGTATATAAAAAAGCTCTATCAATATAATTTTATTGCTATGTATTAGGGATACATTAGGGAATAGGAATGATAAGGACAAATGTCTAAACTGAAATGTGTTTAGAAGAGAAGAATCAGTATAAAAAGTGATACTAAAGATTCACTCTTTTTGACGAAGTCTACTTCTGTTACTTCAAATTTTGCAAACGCATATTATTCCTTAATTGATTCTTATTTTATTGTTTAAAAAAAAAAATGTGAGTGCATGATCTTGAAGGTATTTAAAATTTTTAAGTCCTTTAAAAACAGTCTGTAGCAACAGCTAAGTTTAGCCCATGGCTTCTGGAAATTTTTGCATACTGTTCTGGTTTCTTACACAGGCTTTAGATCAAGGTGAATTACTGCCACAGTAAAACTGTGTGCAAGCAGTTCTAAGTGCTGTTTCTCACCTCTGATCTGTGCTGTATGTACTTGTGTTGAAGATCCAATCTCCATTGCACTTTGTGCACTTAAAATTCTCATCCTGAGAAGGACAGACTATTTGCTAATCACAAAGGCACTGAGGGCAGGCAGGTGGGTAATAGTACAGAATTGTTTTCATTTATGCTAACTCTACCCAGTGCAGCTATCCCCTACTAACGTGTTATCAACAGGATTTTTTTTCTGCTAGTTGTGCAAGTTCAGATACTCCTGTTTAAAAATTCTTTTATTTCACTTATTTTCTGAGAATCTTTAAAAATTACAGTCATGATCCTTGTGTTTTTTTGCTGCAGCTCCCATTAGCATAAGGCCATTTGTTTTTACCACTGTATTTTCCATATTTATGTAAATAAAACATTTATTTCAAAGAGGCCCATTTGGGATTTAACTTTCTGCATTAGGAGATTTACATTTCTGTAATTTGAGGTAATGAAGCCGAAGGGACCCAAGAGAATAGCAGTAGTTGTCAAGTTGTTGGAAGTATCACAGACAAAAACATGACCTTGTGCAGTAGGCCTCTGTTAGATGACTGATGCCAATAAGCTCACATGGGGGAAAAAGAAACAAAAAACCCAAAGGATAACAAATTTTAAGTTTATGTGTTTACCATGAAACCAATAAAAGACTGCAAATATTGCATTTTAGTTTATTTTTAAGTGTAAATGTTAAGTTGGAATTAAATCTGTAAGTAGCTTGATATTGCATCATACCATAGTCTTTATAGCAGCAAAGGAAGACACTGCACTTTGACGTTCTAACGCTCTCTTGTTGATGAGAATGTTGAGGCACATGTTTTTTCTTCTACTTCTGAAATGAACAGTTCAGCTGTCAGTCATTTCAAGGAACCTGATGAAATTGTGTACATTGAGAGGTTTTCTGGTTTGTTTGTATTTGCATGTGTGTTGTTCTTGTATTTTCTTCCAAAGACGTCTGTCAGTGAAGGTTCCATTTTATATTCGTTGAACAAATAAACAAGTTTATGTGTTCTTTTTCCCTTTTGTTGTCAAAAATATTTCATAAATTGATCAGGCTATATACTGTCTGATTGTGTTTCTTGTATCAGAATTTTCCATTGTTTAAGGCTTTGCCAGTGTGTTAGATTTCTAATGATGTTGGGTTTTGACCATTTGAAATTTATTATCCGTACGTTATTCTTGGAGCAGCTATATTTTTTTTAACTAACTCAGAAATAATCATTCAAGGAAGATCATGCAGTGTGACATGTTTGACCTACTCATCTGCCTTTTTCTTCTTCCAAATATCCTTTTTTGATATTTGAAAATTAATGTAAGTCCCATCAAATTTTCAAGTACAAATACTTGAAAACATTTTAGAATGTTGAATGGCTTTTAATGACAAAGTTATCTCTCAAAATTAGATAATAATTATGTAATAATTTTGAGACTGTCTCAAAACATCTTATGATTTCTATGTAGTATAGGTACAGGTTCTTAATAACAACAAAGTGCATTTTTGTGGTAAGACTGGTTGATGCCTTTTCTGTTTCACTCTTCAGCTTGGACCGATATTCCTGGAGTATAGATGGTTTAGTTGTTAACATGGAGCAGAATTATGTGGGCATGAAAGTTAAAAAAAAAAAAAATGTGCCATGGAAGTTGTAACCTCTCAATATCCTGTAATCTTGCATGTTAGAGACACACGATGGGCAGAATGGCTGTGAAACTCCCAAATCTGTGCCCCACACAGAACTACGCAATGAGTATTGTGATTGTCTGCTGTAGAATAGGAGGTCCTTGATTCAGTGAGCAAGTCAGTTTGCCTTTGGAATTTGCTGAAGTGTTGCTGCTGTTTGACAGAGGAGATGTGAAGTCTTGCAAAGACCGCTCTTCTTGAGAAAGAGAGCAGATGTGAAAGCAAGAGGCAAAGATGTGTAGGAGGAAAAAGGGAGTAGCCTCTTAGAGTGATGCTGCTTGATTTTGGAGTCATGCAGAAGTCAATTGTGGTGGAAATCTGCACGAAGAACTTGTGTGTGTGTGTGGTTTGCTTGTTTCCCTCCCTGAAGCATGGATCTGAGTATAGCAAGACTGGTTCAGAATTCCTTTTGCAAATTTGAGGTGGTTTTGCTTCAGTTACTGCTTCTTTCTGAGGAGTTGAACTGTAATCTGTTATCAGTCAAGTAGGATTTGGAAATTGCTCAGTCAGTTTTGGGGGAAACAGCAGTGCTTCTAGGTCTCAGGAATAGGACACTCACTTTTAGATGGAGTCCAGAGACAGAAAAGCTTAGGAAGTGTACTTGGGAAGTCCAGAGAAATTAACTGTGATTTGAAACCTGCCCTGAGGAAGAGGACATAAAACCAAGACTTGAACTCAATACCAGTCTTTGAAAGTCATCCATAAGTGAGATTGTTTGAGATAATGAGAATTTTGTGACATAAAAATTGGATTGGGATGATAATTCTTTTTCTTCTTCCTGAAATTCTACTCGGTGGAAAATTTTGAATTTTCGAATTCCAGAGTTTTGGACTTGCAAACAGAACAGAGTTTCCAAGCACTGGGTAGCTGTAGGAAGCTGTCTTTTTTCTAACACTTTATGTAAGTGGTACTATTTGTGGATTTATATTCATAGCCTCAGGCAAGCGTAGGTCTGCTGCCTGTATCGCCTATCAATTTTGTTTTAGTGGTAGCTGGTGGTTCACATCCTCCTAGATACAGAAATAATCAACAGTAATGATCTGTCTTACAGTAAAAAAAATTAAAGCTGCTACTTTTTATAGTCTTCCTGAGAATATACTGTGCATCCTCCAATTTCCTTCTGGTGTTTTCTCATGCATTTCTTCTTCAGGATTGTCTCTGCTGTCAAAATCTTTGATCTTGGTGGTGGCTTGGTTACATACTGTGTTCCCCTGAAGACATGTGGGTGGTGATTATTCATTATGTCGGGTTTATTTTTGTTTGGGGTTTTTTGTTTGTTTGTTTTGGTTTTGGTTTTTATTGTGCCTGTGTTCTAAATTGGCTTCTATGTATATGGGAGAAGGTCCATCTTTTCTCAGAGTTCAAGTATACCTCTGAATATAGTTGTGTGCTTTACACTTATCTCACTTATTTTTAGCAGCAGTATTACCTTCCTGTTCAGTGAAGTATCTTCTAAGGTGCCTAGCCAGACTTGCAAATTAATTTATATTACTAAGAATAGCAAGTCTTTGTCTCTCTGCATATATTTTCTTGTCCTTCCAGTTTGAAACTAGTACCTAAGTTGGCTATGTTGTTGTAAGTTTGCATAATTAATTTTTTCCTTCAATTTATATTGTAGAAATACAGAATGGAATGGGAACTCTTCCATTCTGCTAAAACTTCTACATTCTGCAGTTGCATAAGAAAGCTAAAATTTCTGTCCCAAAGATACCAGTTTAAATTTCTGTGTAGATTGTGACAAAGCCAATGATAATATCAGGAAAGTTTAAGATAAACAAGAGGTTCATGAAGCCTTAATTTTGGCTACAAATACTTTGAAATCTCTTTCTCCTTCTCTGATCTTTATAGTGTCGAGCAACCCTTAGCGATTGCTCTTCAACTCCTCTTTTTACTAGGTGGATTTTCTGTAATTGACTGTTGACCAGTGCTTGCTTATAAAAAACCCACCAAACAACAGACTTGTTGGTTTGTAGTTACTTTTATTTTTATCTGTGTATATTGTGTCTGTATCTGGACATGGTTTAAATTTGATTTGGTCATATCTATATATGTGTGATATACACACAATTATATCTATGTACATCAAGTAATTTTACAGTATTAGGGCTTGAAACTTGCTGGCTTGCTGGTTTTATTGGCAGCAGGGGCAATAGGAGTGCAAAAAAAAATCAGAACTGTGAAATCTTGAAGGTAAGATCTTGAAATGCCTGAGGCTGATTTGATTAAAAGACATTTCTATTAGAGTAAAAGCCAATAGATGTTCTTCACTATATCTTATGAATGCATCAGAAGGGCTGCACAAATGTGCTGGCTATTAAAGATGGTTTCATAGTAGTCAAGACCAGGAAATGGCAATCTCAAGTTTGGAACAAAAAAAATCACTTTCTAAAATATTGACATGGGTGAAAATATCCAATGACTGCAAGACATATAAACCCTTCTCCAGATGTTTGCATCAAAGTATGCTGGAATTTTAGCATAGCTCAGAATATTTTCATATGAGGAAGTTACTGTTTGTCTATATTTTTCATTGTTATTTTTCTACTACATATGGAATCCTTTGGCTAGATATTTGTGTAGTCATGCTGATTGTAGGGAGGGGACATGTTTAGTTAGTAAGCTTGGCTGCATAAGGAAACATAATTGTTTTTATCAGTTCAAATTGTCTAGATAATGGAATTAAATATGCAACAGTCATGATTTATTTTGTCAGCTATCATGTTCTGCATGATAATGCTGCAGTACCACCAAGGAACAGAAGCTCATCTCCTGATTCCTTGTAGTGGGGGGACCAAACTGTGGTGAACATGGAAAATTCCTAGTGGGATACTAGAGTTCTGTTTATGAACATATACATCTTTAGATTAAATATATAGAAATATATTTCTCTTGGGAGGGAGGGATTTGAAACATATGTACTTGGATCCAATTTCTCCAGGTCCTTGTCTCAGACTGATTTGTTTTAAGCAGCTCCCTGAAGTATGTACACTCTTCTGCATACCTGTTTTGTTGAAAGTACACAGACCTGGCACCATTGTGTTTGCCAGGCTTCTCTTATCTCCTGCAAGCATTCAAACAAAAAGTGTTCTATTGCTCTCTGAGTAATCCATGGGTGATCTTAACATTGAGCAAAAGTCAGAGCAGGAACTTATGTCATATTTCTTAGTGCAGGAGTAGACAGTCTCTGGAAGGAAAGGGAGGGGATTGGAGCACGGAGAAGACAAGCACAACTCAAAATAAATAGTTGAAGGGTTGTGCGTGTGTTCATATATGAAAACGTTGCATAAGAATGCTGAAATGTAGGGGTAATACAAACTCAATTTCATAATATATCCTGGATTTAATAAAGCTGTTTGTATATAGGCTTTGATACACGGTTTTCTTAAAGTAGAGCTCTCGGAGCAATCTAGACCCAGTCCTATTTGCATGTTAATTTTAGTCTCCAGTTCTACAAGGCAAATTTGTTATGTTTTTAAGCATGCAGATAGTCCTATTCAGGAACAGGGATGATTAAATACAAAATATACTACAGTATCTTGTTGAGAGGGAATCTTTAAGTCTCTGTTGCAACAGTTATTGCACTCAGGGGAAGAAAAAAATTAAAAGAGGTTTTAAAATATCCCAAATAATTAGTAGCAGATTTTTGCATGTGCCCCCTCCCCCAAAACAAAACAAAAAACATGTAACTTCCTGAACTGTTAACTGTTACATTGCTATTATCTTGCAGATTCTCTTGCTTTCTGGTAAGAGAAAAGTGGGGAGAAAAAAAACAAAAACCAAAAAACAAAAAAACCCAAACATCAACCCACAATTAAAATATTATTTCTGAAAATTAAATATTATTTCTGAAAATTAAAGAATTTCTGAATTATTTTTTTGTTTCAGTCCTAAAAGTTAGCTTTGTGCCCAGCTTAGAGACACAGTGTAGCCTGCTTAGTTTAATCAAAGTCAACACTTCTTTGTTTATAATTTTCTTATACTGTAACTAAAACTGTGTCTCAGGACTGTAAAGGGGAAATGTGATGAGTCCCAGACTCAAAGTGGTATCTCTAAATGCTTTAGAGCAATAGGAAACATGTGAGCTTGAATTATATTGTCTGTAGTCTTTAGGCTTATACAGAATTTCTCTTGTGACAGTTAAGGACATGGATTTATAGGACATAAAGTAACTTAGTGCAGGGTTTCTATTGCTGATCAGTGTTGCAATTTCTAGATTAATCTTGCCTAAGGGATTATTCTAGTTATTGTACAAGTGCACACACATATGCAGAGCCCATTGCAAAAAAGGGTCTAAATTAATGAAGTGCGAAATAGGAAAAAGATTGGTATAGTTTGATAAAAATTATTCATTACCATCACATATGTTCTAATGCAACTTTTTAAATTTTTCAAGATTTAAAATCTGGATAAGGAAAGTTGGATTTATCTGGCTTTTAAATGAATGTTTAGTGGGCTCACAAAAAATACATAAGAGGAAGACTGAAAATTACTATTCTAAAAGTAATTCTTTGCATTAGCTGAGAATTATTCTTCACAAGTTTGCATAAACATTTCCTACACTTCATGAAATGTTCTTTATACAGTTGGGGAGTCAGAGTTGTGTTCCTAAAAGTGTGTCCCTCTTAATGACTTTTCTTTTCTTGTCCAGGTTAGCTAGATGGAAATCACTCTCTCTGTGCTGTTGAACTGGCTGAAAAAATACAGTATGTGTGTGGCACCAGAATTGGTTGGGAACAGGAAAGGCATATTTTGTATCTGTACTGAACGTGTCAGCTTAGTGCATAGAAGACTTGACCCTTGTCAGGTGTTTTGAAGTTAACTGGCTGATTTATGGATTAATCAGTTTAAGACTGAAGCCAACCAGTGACAGGAATGAGCTTTGTTGTGTGAGTGTGTGTGTGTGGCTATGGTGCAGATTTACAAATTTTTATAATGCTTTCAGTCGGACCATGAAAGTCTGATGGAAAGCTTATCTCTGATCTCTGGCTATGGCCATACTCATGGGATCATGTTTGTGTGTTTGGGGGCAGGGAGATGAATTCTTTAACACTTGACACCTGGCTCTACTCGGTTTCTAGCCCATAGTCTTAGGAATGGCACTATTCAAGGCATTAATAAAGTTAAAACCCTTAAGCCGTATGACCAGTAGGTCATAAAAACTATTGCTGGGTATTGTGCTCAGTCTTTCTTTCACAGCTTGGTTATCATCCTGAAAACTAATTCTTTTTTTTTTTTTTTTTTTTTTTTTTTTTTGACCCTTCAAGCCCTGTATGAGAATGTGAGTAATCAGAGGAGGTCCATATAACATAGCAATACTGTAAGTCCATGTGAAGATATTTTTGGTTTGCATCACTAATATTCAGAAAGCTTGTAGAACGTGTCCTGTTTTGAAACGACTTGGTTTTCCCCAAAGCAAGGAAAATAATAAGCATTTAAATTGTATTAATCACAATTGTGTTTTATATAATACGTACTTTTTTTTTATATAAGTAGGATAATCAGCTTCTAAATGACTAAACAGGAATTGGTTTTGCTCTTTTTTTTTTTTTTCTGGGGTGGGGCAGTCTTTGGTCAATACTTATCAGACCTTGCACTCCAGGTATTTGGCTTCCCTTCATAAATTTGCTAATATAACAATGATAATCAGTAAAAAAAAAATGGTTTAATAACAGCAATCATTCCATTTGTGGAGCTGTAGCTTTTAATTATTATAACTTCAGGAATTCCTCAAAAATAATTTTAACTCTTTGAAAGGAAAAGTATTGATTAAAGTTAATGTAATAAAAAGTGGTATAAACTGCCAGGGGCTTCATAAGTTTCAGAGATTAATCATCAGAGAGTGTCTGACCACCAGGTATGCTAAATCACGGATTCAGAATATACTCAGGTATGTTCTAAATCTTCACAAAGCCAGTCATGTGCAAACTTTTAAATAGTGGGTCTCGGAAGCACGTTTCTGCCTTCAGCTGATGTCAGTGAGCATTAACTTTCTTCTCTGAGCACATTGCCTGAATACACGGAGGTCTGGCTAGACATCTCTGGAGAAATCAAAGAGTCTTTCTACTTACACTCAACCTGAAAATATGAAACGTAAAGCGGGGAGCTACAGAATAGCATTGAAGGCCAAAGTATATTATTGTATTGGATTTATTATTTCTCTCACGTTATGATTTTGAGAATATCTTCACAGAATCACAGAATCGTCTAGGTTGGAAAAGACCTTGAAGATAATCTAGTCGTACATATTAACCTAGCACTGACAGTTCCCAACTACACCAGATCCCTCAGCGCTATGTCCACCCGACTTTAAACACCTCCAGGGATGGGGACTCCACCACCTCCTTGGGCAGCCCATTCCAACACCTAACAACCCATTCTGGAAAGAAATGCTTCCTCATATCTAGTCTAAACCTTCCTTGGCGCAACTTGAGGCCATTACCTCTTGTCCTATCACTTATTACTTGGTTAGAGACTCATCCCCAGCTCTTTGCAACCTTATTTCAGGTAGTTGCAAAGGGGAATGAGGTCCCCATCAGACTCCCCTTCTCCAGACTAAACACCCCCAGTTCCCTCAGCCGCTCCCCATACGACCTGTGCTCCAGACCCTGCACCAGCTTCGTTGCCCTTCTCTGGACATGCTCGAGTCATTCAATGTCCTTTTTGTAGTGAGGGGCCCAAAACTGAACACAGGAATCGAGGGGCAGCCTCACCAGTGCCGAGTACAGGGGTAAGATCCCTTCCCTGTCCCTGCTGGCCACGCTATTGCTGACACAAGCCAGGATGCCATTGGCCTTCTTGGCCCCCTGGGCACACTGCTGGCTCCTGTTCAGCTGGCTGTCAATCAACCCCCCCCTCCCCATCCCTCTCTGACTGGCAGCTCTCCAGCCACTCCTCCCCAAGCCTGTAGCGCTGCTGGGGGTTGTTGTGGCCCAAGGGCAGCCCCCGGCATTTGGCCTTATGGAAACTCCTGCAGTTGGCCTCAGCCCATGGCTCCAGCCTATCCAGGTCTCTCTGCAGAGCCTCCCTACCCTCGAGCAGATCAACACTCCCACCCAACCTGGGGTCATCTGCAAACTGACTGAGGGTGCACTTGATCCCCTCGTCTAGATCATCAATAAAGATGTTAAACAGGAGTGGCCCCAACACCAAGCCCTGGGGGACACCACTCATGACTGGCCGCCAACTGGATTTAACTCCATTCACCACAACTCTTTGGGCCCGGCCATCCAGACAGTTTTTCACACAGCAAATCGTGTGCCCATCTAAGCTGTGAGCAACCAGTTTTGTCAGGAGAATGGTTTGGGAAACAGTGTCAAAGGCCTTACTAAAGTCAAGGTAGACAACATCCACAGCCTTTCCCTCATCCAATAAGCAGGTCGCTCTGTCGTAGGAGGAGATCAGGTTTGTCAGGCAGGACCTGCCTTTCATAAACCCATGCTGACTGGCCCTGATCCCCTGTTTGTCCCCCATGTGTTGTGTGATGCTCCATCAGCCTCCTGGGCACTGAAATCAAGCTGACAGGCTTGTAATTTCCCGAATCATCATTCTTATATATGGGCATCACATTGGTCAATTTCTAATCTGTCCTGACGTCCCCGGTCAGCCAGGAGTGCTGGTACATGATGGAACGTGGCTTGGTGACCACCCAGCTAGCTCCTTTAGCACCCTTGGGTGTATCCCATCTGGTCCCATAGACTTGTGTATGTCTATCTGATGCAACAGGTCACTAACTGTCTCCTCCTGGATTGCAGGGTGGTCATTCTCCCAGTCTCTGTCTTCTGGCTGAGGTTGGATTCCCTCAGTACAACTAGTCTTGTTATTAAAGACTGAAGCAAAGAAGGCATTAAGCACCTCAGCCTTCTCCTCATCCCTTGTTACCATGTTTCCTCCCACATCTAGCAGGGGATGGAGACTCTCCCTGGTCTTTCTTTTGCTACTGACATACTTATAGAAAAATTTCTTGTTGTCCTTGATTGCTGAAGCCAGATTAATTTCCAGCTGGGCTTTAAACCTCCTGATTTCTGACCTGCATGGACTCACAGCATCTTTGTAATCATTGTGAGTCACTAACCCCTTCTTTCAAAGGCCTCAAACTCTTTTTTTTTTTCCCTGAGTTGCAGCCAAATCTACCTGTTCAGCCAGGGTTGTCTTCTCTGCCACTGGTTTCTCTTAGAGCACCTGGGGACAGCGTGCCCCTGAGCCATTAACACTTCCTTCTTAAAGAGCACCCAGCCTTCCTGGACCCCGAAACCCTTCGGATCGTCTCCCAAGGGATCCTTTCAAGCAGGTGCCTAAACAAGACAAAGTCATCCCTTTGGAAGTCCAGGATGTCAGTCCTGCTGCCCCCTCTCTGGCCTCTCTAAGAATAGAGTAACTCTATTATTTCATGATTGTTGTGGCCTAGTCGGCCTCCAACTGCCACATCATCCACCAGACCATCTCTCTTTACAAAGAGGAGATCCAGCAAGGCACCTTCTCTGGTCGGTTCACTCAGCAGGTTTGTTAGGAATTTGTCTCCCACACATTCCAGGAATCTCTGGGACTGGTCCTGCTCTGCTGTGTTGTATTTCCAGCAGATGTCTGGGAAGTTAGTCTCCTACAAGAACAAGGGCAAGTGATCATGAGATTTCTTCTGAATGCCTTCATAATATTTAATCTACCTCTCTGTTCTGGGTGGGTGGCCTATAGTAGACTCCTGCTACAACATCTGCCCTGTTGGCCTTCCCCCTGATTCTACTGCAAAGACAGTCCACCTTGTCTTCACTACACTTGTTCTCAAAGCAATCATAACAGTCCCTGACATACAGCACCACCCCACCACTTCTCCTTCCCTGTCTATCCCTCCTAAAGAGCTTGTAGCCATCAACTGGTGCACTCCAGTCATGGGAGACATCCCACCATGCTTCTGTAATAGCCACTACATCATAATTTTCTTGTTTCATCATGGCTTCAAGCTCCTCTTGTTTGTTACCCATGCTGCATGCATTGATATAGATGCACTTCAGATGGGCCAATGTTTTGCCCCTTTCCATTCAAATCTAGTTTACAGGTCTCTCAATGAGTCCAGCTAACTCCTGCCCCAAGATCCTTTTCCCCCTCTGGCACAGGTGCATCTTATCTAATGCCAAAAGGTCTGGCATCCTGTATACCAACCCAGTATACCTTTCAGGTTTTTGGTTTTTAGACTCTAGCTTTTTATGGCCTACTTTGGAATTATTTGTTGATTTATGGAACTTCTACTAAAGAATCCACTTTGGGGCTTGAAGAGAGAGATAGTAAGCTCTAGTCCACTTTATAGGGAAGAAAAAAAAAAAGCTAAACAAAATGAAAAATAAAAATCTGACAAGAACTACGAAGCACTCTACTCTTATTTCATCCCTGAAGAGTTAACTCACTCAACACTGCTCAGGAAGATAATGCTTAAATGGGAAAAGTATTCTAATTACCCCCAAATCTTTAAACTCTTCTCACAACTTTATTCCACAGCATTTCTGGTTTGGCCTGTGTTATTTTATTTTACATTATTTTTAATCTGCTCCCTTACACATCACAACTATATCCCATTCCATGCATTCTTTAGCATGTAAAAAATTGAAGTAATTTTATGTATTACATATGCGTGATTGTGGGAGATTGTGTTGTGGGAAGTATGGAATAGATGCTGCTCTCATGATCAGTTTTGCATACTTCCCTCTTTTGTATTGCGTAAGACTTTTATTTTGGTTTAAAAAAAAATAGTCCTCCTATATGGCTAATGTACTGATAGAATACTTTCAAATGCTTTCTTAATGTTAGCTCCAGTATGTTTCCGAGTTCCAGTATAATGGATTACCTGCAAATTTGCAGTTCACTGACACAACCAAATGCCATTGTGTTCATCATTACCTTCACTAATTACAGAAAATATCTAGGAAATACTGTCCTGATTGAGGAAAATATTATAAATTAATCTCAGGCAAGACTCAAATTTGGAGTGACTATAATGTATTTCTTTGCTTTGAATAGAAGATAGACCAGCACAACTTTATCACTATATTTGCTTGGTTCAAGACAGAAAAAAAAAAACAAACCAAACAAAAAAAACCCAAAAAAACGAACGAACAAAAATCAGTTTATTTGGGGAGAGCTTCATAAAGGGACCTGAATTTTAATCCTGGATCCTCTATTTGATGAAGCTGTATCTTGAAAGAAGCGGGCTTTTTTAATTGCATTTTATTTTGTTTTTCCTTTCAGTCTTTGGTCAAGGCTCATCAGATCTTGCATTTGCTTCCCTAGGAA